AGTCATACTTAGGGTAGGGCGCCATGGAAAAATTTTAATTGAAAAAGGGCGCTGCGACTAGGAAAAGTTTTGGAACCACTGGTTTAAGTATAAGGGTTATTTTATCTTGTTTTTTTAAACGTATCCCTTAGTTTCATAAGAGTATAAAACAAGTGATTTATGGGGTTGGAATAATACCATCTAAGCTTAACTGCACACATCTTTTTCTTAATCAGGTCTTACTAACTAGAAATTTTATCTATACTAATTTAATCAGAAAAAAGATAAAATAGTCATCAGTAATCAATTTAATTTAGTCAAAAGAGGCAAAGCCATCTATTTCTCCTGCATTTATTCCGATTTCTTTCATAAGGAATATGGTGTTTCTTTTAAAATAGCTCCTTAATACACATATAAGAAGGTCCTGTTTAGCTTGCCCAGTTATTGCTTTCTCTTATTTGTGAACATGTTGAGAATTGCTCATGCAACTCTGTGATATTTGTCACCATCTCTTGTAAAAGGCAAGTTACAATGAAGAGTAAAAATGTCGTAATTTCCGCATAAGTACCAAAATGTTTTTGCTGTGGTTATCTTGTGCCTAAAACAATAAAAATGTTTAGAAAAGGGAAGGTTCATGAGAGGGTTTAATTAATTTTCGGCGTCGGATGTGTGATCAAGGCCCATTTAGTTGATTAGAAGAAGTATTTTTGATTGGATTACGTCGTAAATTTGACTAAAAGTGCCTTCTCATTCGCAAGTGCTTACATATTTTACCTTAGTAATCCTCATCAAAATCTCCTGCGAGCTGAAGGACCAAACTTTATAGATAATAGATTAACGAAGTGCTATACATGAGAACTAAAAATCACACAAATGCCATATTTTAAGTAAGACTGAAATAAATTTGAAACTGTTTCTTAATCGTGGGGAGATGGACCAGATTTTCGATTATGAAGATGATTGAATCTACATATTTGGCGCATCCTATTTTTTACAATTAATAATTTTTAAATTTGTCACTTCAAATAAAATGCCTAATTATATTGACTTGCTTACAGAAAGGGCATTCCTGAAGTGATATCGGTTTTTTTTTAAAATTGGACCCTTGGCCTTAGATGATAAGGGAGGATTGTGTGAATTTTACCAAAACCGTAGCGTAGACTTGACAAATATTTAGGTTAGGGGACTTTTACTTCGTATGAAAGTAATTGAAGAAGAGATTCCTTGGTCGATCTCACCAGATGAGGACGGATGAATCTCGTTGTACTACAGCCGTTTGGCTTTTATACGATATTCATTTTGACGCAGTCCACAAAACTTCCGCCCTCGTTTCGGGTGAAAACGTGCTGAGCTTTGTTCCATTTAAGTTTTTAATATTCTTTTGTCTCAATTGAGTCTATATAAGAAGTAAGATAGAGTCTGATAGTGTTCTTTGCCTATTGTTAATGCGAGACTCTTACAAGAATGAAACCCAGCGCTGATGATGTCCATCATAAGATGGACGAAAGCTCAGCACTTTTTCACCCGAAACGAGGGAGGAAGTCTTGTGGACTGCGTCAAAATGAATATTGTATAAAAGCAAAATGGCTGCAATACAACGAGATTCATCCGTCCTCATCTGGTGAGCTCGACCAAGGAATCTCTTCTTCATTCACGTAAAGACGAAATGAAAGTTTCCCTAACAATGTTATCTTAAGAGATTAATCGAAACCCAGCTTCTCTTCATATCTAAAATATTTATGTGTTACCTAATTTGGAGCAATCAAAAGTCTAAAAGCGAGTATGAAAAGCCTCTTTCCAAAGTAGGATGAATCTTAGGGATGCTCAAAATGTAAGAGTATTGTATAGCTGTTAATGTGTCAGACAATCTCGCTTGAACCAGAAATTCACTTGGAAAGACTGAGATGCAGGTGCTTTCCTGGCCTGTCGAACTATATATTCTTGATATGCAATTTCGTGCGAGGCCCCACCGTCGATTCCAGAAAAAGCTAAACACTAATCAAATCTTAGCCATATAAACCTAGACTTGCATAAATTGGGGCCATATTTGAATTGATAATGTATCTCATCCTTGATAAATGAATTGTAGTGCTCTCAATCAGCTATAATTCAATACTCCGTCTGTGATTAAACAAAATTAATTGGCAAAATTTTTACCTCTAGCTTCTTTCTTTACAAATAAGAATGATAAAAATAGGTTTAACAAAATTTCATACTAGATTAACCTTTTCTGTTGTGAGGCTCCCACATTCTATTCATATCATTTCAAAAAATTCAACTGTCAGCCATCTTATTACTTAAAGCCAATTAAAGGGACTCGTTTTCATTTTTAAAATATACTGATACTTTCAAAACCCACTTATTCGGTATATTGGTCGTTTATTTTTTTTAAACCCACTCTTCCAATCTAGAAACCCAGTTTGCATAAATGTTCGTTAGCTATAATATTCGTTCGTTAGCTAATCTCATGTAGCTCCTCCAATATCTTAGTTTTTTAGTGTTGGTTCAATCTTGTTTTCGCAACTTGGTCTGAGCGTCAGGGAAGCCTTGTAGAACGTACCTAGTTCCGTGTCCTTTGCCATAGTACTCGTAATTTCTAGCATTGGACTATTGGCTGCATACATTCTTAAACGCTTCGCTCGCGTCGTCAGTGAGAGGTGCCATCGTAAGCACAGACTTACAATTCATCAAAGTGGCAAGTTGTCACTATGCCAGAGGTCACAGGACTAGGTAAATTGCGCAAGGTCTCACTGACGCTCCGACCAAGATACGAAAGCAAGGTCGAACCAGCACTATAAAGATAAAGGAGACTGCCACACCATCTTGGTCTTGATATCTACTATCTTAGTTTTTTAACCAAAATTTTGATCAAAGTTTCTTTCATGATTCCATATTTGAGGCAGACTCCAGGCATACGAGAATGCGTCCTGGAACTGTTAGTTCTACCTGATTTTTAATGTAATATCTGTTACTTTTTGGGGATCATTCATGTTACAATCCCCACTTAGGAGATTTAAAATTGTATACGAATTTAAATGTTATTGGCTAAGCACTTAGTGGTGGCTTCTCTTCCCACGCTTCGATTGAGACTAGTGTTGATGTGGCAAAGAATCTAGTTTGGGCATCTCAATATTTCGTCTCAAGTACAGTAATAATCAATGCATACTGCTTTTTAGCAACACTAGAACCTCGTGTAAGAGATTATTTACTTTGGACCATACTATATGTTAGTTTAAATACAAATGTAGACGATGAAGAACTTCATTTGAGATCCGTAATGCCTTTAATCCTCGGTTCAAGCAGTGACGTTATGCAAGGAATGTTGAATTGCATCTTCTACCCCCTTCCAAATGAGAGTCTTCGTAGCGCTAGTATAACCTAAGGTTTAAAAACAAATTAAAATAATAAAATGCCTAAATGACAAATTATTGTTCTTATATCTGCTAATATGTCGTGGTACTGTAAAGTAAGAGTATGAATTCAGCTCGACTATTAAGCAGTTTTATGGCTATAAGGAGAACATTATAGTTACTTTTATTAGGAAGAATGAGATTCGAAGCCTACAAGGTCGATCACGTCCCACACCGTAGGATACCGCCCAACATTTGATGCTTTGGTGTTGGACATAATTTTCTTCTATCCTCGTGAATTTTCGTGAACTGTATGAGCGCCCAATAAAAAGTAATATTTTTAAAAACACTTAAGTATTCAAATGCAACTCAAGGATATAATCTTTATTTGGGTTTTAATCCAATTGGCTTTTCTTATAATTCTTCTAAACCATCACCGAATACACCCAAGATTCCCTACGTCTTCCTTTTCATAAACTTGAGTCTCGAAAATACTGAATGAATTACCCTTGTCAGAAAGCGTAGAGTCCCAGGCGCTTGCATTCACCAAACCTTTTTTAAATCCAAATTTTCATATTTTCGTTTCCTTAAATCCCTTTAAGTTCAAATGTCAATGAAAGAATGATGGCCATAATTATATTGTACTAGGTGCTAGGAATTAGGTTGAAATAGCCAAGGCTATACATACAAAAACTTCAAAATAAAGGTTCTATTCTGCTTTTCCAACCCTGGAAAACTCTCACATTATCTTTTCCATTTGCAGATAAATTTCACAGGATATTTCCTCTGCTGCTCATCACTCCTAAGCCCGCATACACAGGCGATATGGATTATAATATGTAATACCTTGCGTACGGTCCCACATAGGACAAATGACACTGTTCGATGCTTTTGCAGAAATGCTTCGGCCTATAATTTTACCTAAATATACAGGCGTAAACATACGCAATACATCCTATGCATAGATTACGAGCATCAATCACTTCGCTTCATCTACTAATTCAATGCACGTTATATCTAGGTCACGAGACAACGAATATAATCTACTGCAGATATCGAAACGCTTCATGTCCGAGCTCGAGATGCAAATGGCTGATTTGCAGAAGGCAGACCAGTTTCCAGACAATGCAATCACTGAGGCCTCACAAATTCGTGCTCAAATACTATCTTCATATAACACAGCAATGCAATATGATGAGAGAGTGGAGATGCTCCGTTACGATGCCGGCTTGCTGAGAGAAGAAAGAAAGCTGTTGAAGCGGGACTACTCTAAACTTCCCACGGCAGAGGTAGGCCTGTTTCAAATCACTACGCCCTCAGGCTGTACTAAGCGATAGGTCTTTATAATGATCTGTAGACTAAATAATAATAGATAATCGTTATAATTTAGTCTATTCCCATGACATTTTAAGCATCCATATAACTAGCTTATATAAGAGCACCCTCCAGAAAGCTGATCTAAGTTAAATTAGTACAGCATGAAAGGCTAGATATTTTAAGACAAGTCAAAGGAAAGATAACACAAAGTATTTGTAGCGACCTCAAGACATGAGATCAGGCTTCGCACTTTTATGTTGAGTATCCCGGAGTTGTATATTAGAACGAATCATGGAGCACAAATTAAATAAAATAAGAAAGTTTACGGAGGAAGATTCGGAGTTGATAAAACAAAGATGATGGCGAAGTATATTGCTGGCGTAAAAGAGCATCGTTCGGCTTAAAAGAGTCATAACGGTTCACAAGGAGAGGGCAAAAAGCAACCCCGAGTTCAATAAGTTTCCGGCCAAAAAATACTCCTCAGTACTTTAGATTTCATGTCCTGATTCTTTAAACAGAGAGGATCGATGCGGTGGCTAGGCTCGCTTAGTCCCCACTGGACATAATTCAGATGAGTCGTACTCCCAGTGGTGATACGTGAGTTTAAAGATAACTTATTTCTGGTTGGTTGCGACTAGAGATGTAGCAAAACTGACTGAGCATTAAAACTCACTACAGGTTGATACACTCTACTAAGTATTCAGAAACCCATGTTTTTGTTGCTTAAGTGTTTATA